AAAAAGGTTTAAAAACTCTATCATATCAAGGGGCATTTGGGAATGCTAGTGTTCAAAAATTAACTTTTTATGAACATTGCATAATGGGAAAACAAGTCAGCCCGCCCTTTAAGGCAGGAGTGCATAAGTCTTAAGATGTTCTTGAGCACATACATTTTGATTTATGGGGACCTGCCCCTGTACTTACAGTATCTAGTTATAGATATTATCTCCTTATCACTGATGATTACTCAAGGAAAACATGTATTTTCTTATTAAAATCTAAGTCTGACACTTTTACTATTTTCAAAGAATGGAATGTATTAAGTGAAAATCAGACTGATAAGAAGATAAAATTTTAAGAACTGACAATGGGCTTGAATTCTGCAATTCGAAATTTGATCAATATTGCAGTAAACAAGGGATTATCAGGCATAAAACTGTAAGCTATACTCCTCGGCATAATGGAATTGCTAGGAGATTAAATAGAACCATTCTTGAGAGGGCAAGATGTGTGTTAATCAGTTTTAGCCTTCTAAAAATATTTTGGGGAAAGGTAGTAAAAATTGCCTGTTATCTAATAAATAGATGTTCTTCCAGCTCTCTAAACAATAAAATTCCTAGACAAATTTGGTCTAGTACATTACCAGACTAATCCTACCTCAGAACCTTTGGATGTGCTGTATATGCACATCACACAGATTCAAAACTAGACCCTAGATCAATGAAGGGTGTGCTTTTAGGCTATGGAGAATGAGTTAAAGTTTATAGATTGTGGTTAAGAGATGTGAGGAGTTATAAATTTATAATAAGTAAATCTCTAATCTTTAATGAGGATGATTTTCCTTGTCTTAGTGATAAATCTAGGGAAAAGATAGGAAATGATGACTTTATTATTACTGAGATAAACCTGAATAAGGAGACTTTTAATGACCAGGCTCAGTTTGAGGTGGAGCCACAAGAAGTAGAATCATAGAATGTCTCTGATGTTGAAACATTGGAAGATGACTAGCATCTGGAGCCTGCAAATGACCTGCAGGACTACTAGCTTGCTAGGTATAGAGAAAAGAGACAAATAAGACCTCTTTCCAGGTATTAGTATGCTGATTTTGTGTTTGCCCAGTCTGAACCTGATCTATTTGACATAGAACCCACTTCTTATGAAGAAGCTATTTCTTGCATAGAATCTCCTAAGTAGATTGTTGCAATGGAAGATGAAATGAACTCCCTCTATAAAAATGAAACCTGGATCTTAGTTCAAAAACCTAAAGAATGTAAATTGATTGATTGTATATGGATATATAAGATCAAAGAGGGTGAGACTAAGACAAATAATAAAAGGTATAAGGTAAGACTTGTAGCAAAAAGTTTTACACAAAGAGAAGGGATAGACTACATTGAAATCTTTTCACCAGTCGTCAAATATACCTCTATTAGGGTATTACTTGCTCTTGTGACGCAATTTAACTTAGAGTTAGAATAACTTGATGTGAAAACTGCCTTCATATATGATTCTTTAGATGAAACCATATATATGACTCAGCCAAGAGGGTTTAAGGTAAAAGAAAAGGTGAACTTTGTGTGTCTCTTGAAAAAATCATTGTATGGCCCAAAATAGGACCCTAGGTAGTTGTGTAAGAGATTTGACTCTTTTATACAAGGATTGGATTTTAATAAATCTGATTATGATCCCTATTTTTACTTTAAGAGAGACGGAAAATTTGAATCTTATTATCTTCTTTTGTATGTTGATGATATGCTCCTTGTTGGTCATAATTCAGTAACTCTTAACTCAATTAAAGAAAAGTTGAAATCTGAATTTGAGATGAAAGATTTAGGACCAGCTAGAAAGATTTTGGGCATGGAAATAACAAGGGATAGAATAAATGGAAGGTTGTTTTTAACACAAAAATCTTATGTTGATAAGATAGTTGAAATATTTTCTCTTCATGATGCTAAGTTTGTTAGTCTGCCTTTGTCTGCTAGTATGAAATTATCTATTGATCAGTCATCTAAATCTGAAGATGAACATCAAAGAATGATGAATGTTCCTTATGCTAATGCTTTTGGATTTGTTATGTATGTTATGGTATGCTATAGACTTGATATTGCTTATGCTGTGAGTGTGATAAGCAGATTTATGAGTAACCCAGGTGAATTACATTGCCAATGCATGAAAAATAAGATTAAGTGCCTAAAACGAACTAGTCAGTTAAGGTTAATGTTTAAAACAGATTAAAATGGACTTAGACTAAAAGGCTATGTAGACTCAGATTTTACTAGAAATCCAGATAATAAGAAATCTGCAATAGTTTATTTTTATGTAATAAATGATACATGCATTAGCTGGAAATCTCAACTTCAAAAACTGGTCGCATTGTCTTCAATCGAGGCTGAATACATTGCTGCAACTGAGATAATGAATGAAGGGTTATGGTTGAAGGGTTTATTAGGTGAATTAAGACTTATAGAAAATCAGGTGGAGCTACCAAAGTGCAATATTTTTAAGTCAAAACCCAATTTTTCATGATAGGTCTAAGCATTTAGGCGTTAAATTTCTTTTTATTAGAAATATAGTTGATGGTGGTGATATTAAATTGAACAAAATTCATACTAAGGTAAATCTTGCATATGTTGGAACAAAGATAATACCTATAAATAAATTTCTAGACTCTTTAAGATTATTGAATCTTGAAGAGGACTAAGTTTTCTCTTTTGTGCAAGTAATAAGAGCAAATGAAGTTTAGATTAAGTTGTAAATCCACTTATGTGTCGTCACAAAATGCAGCAAAAGGTGGAGATTGGAAAGGAAGGTTTGCTGAATTTCGTGTGAGGCCCAGTATTCAACATGGACCTGAATGTGTGCTCTACTTCTGGCCCAATCTGTGATCCAATAAGCTGAAGATTTTGGAATGATAAAGTGCGTTTTCAAATTAAAAGGGCACTTCTACTGGATGATGGACAAGTGGCGTTCTTTAGACCATTGGATCAAATGCAAGATTCTCTCCTATAAAAGTAGTGGAGAGGTCTCTAGAGTTTCAGTCTTTTATTTTTCTAGCAGCTTCTCTCTCATTTTTATGTTCTCTGTAGACTCTGTATATTCTCTGATTTCTTTTGTGATTTCGAGAGAAAAATGGTGTTTGAGATGAACTCTCGTGTAAGTTTTGGGTTGTTCTGAGAAGAACTTGTGTTCTTGAGAGATTTGGAACTAAGTATTCTGTAACTTCAAACTTTTGCCTATTTTCGGACGGTTTATAGTGGATTTGAGTTTAATCCTTACGAATGCTCAAAGGAGATTAGGCGTTGGAAGTGGTAGCAGAACCTTGGGGCCTTTGGGCCAAAAAATCTTGTGTTGCAGTTCCTTTTATTTTTATTTTATTTTATTTTACTGTGTTTGATTGAAGGCACGAATATAATTTTGGGACCAACAATACTGTTGCACACAACCCTGTCCATTACGATTATACTAAACATATATATAGAAATTGACCGACACTTTGTTAAGGAAAGCTAGAAAATGGAGAGATTTGTATTCCTGATATTGCGTCAAGAAATTGAACTTTTGGATATTCTCATTAAAGGGTTGGGTACCTTCTCTTTCTTTCTAATCTAAGCAAGTTGGGAATTAATAATATTTTCGAGCCAACTTGAGGGGAATGTGAAATTCTACCATTTTAATATCCTAATCTTAGGAAATTGAATTCCGTGTAAATTTATTTTCCCATTTATGTATTTAGCAATTGAATTGTCCTAGAACTATGCTGAAGACAGATTAGGTTGGATAGCATTGACCTTATATAAACATGTAATTTTAAATATTCTTCTATTTGTCCTAGAATATGTCCATAATGAATATACATGCTGACTTGTGGGGGCTGAAAAAGTACCCAAAATTTGGTGGCAATAGATAATTCTTATCATTGATGGATGATTTTTCAAGGAAGACTTGGGATTTTCTTGTTTAAGCAGAAATATGAAGCTTTCAGTTGGCTTAAACAGTGTCAAATTTTATTGTAAAATCAGAAAAGTAAAAGCATTAAGACTTTAATAACTAAAATATAAAATTTGATTCCCATTGTACCGACAAAAGGAATTGAAGACCCAAAATAATGAGATTCACCCCTCAACAAAATGGAGTTGGTGAGATGATTTACATAACCATCTTAGAAGTGGTATGGTGCTTAATGGTGAGCTCTCGGCTTTCAACGTCTGGAGAGAAGCTGCAGCAGATGCTATGCACTTAATGAACGTAAGCCCTTTCTGTCCTGTGAATTTTAAAATTTGAGAAAATTTTTGGCCTGGTAAATGTCCCAAGTTTGATCGTTTGAAGACTTTAGGGTTTTCAGCATATACACATCAATGTGAGGATAAGTTGGAGCATACGGTCATTGAGCGTGTCTTATGGTACTGTCAATGAAAATGAAATTGTAGAAGTGGATGAACTTACGAATATCTTTCACGCAAACTTATTTAGTAAGGCAACACCATTACCCAGCACATGATAAATATGATACAAGATTCGAGAACGACTCCTCTCGACCCCTAAAAGAATGATGTAGTACAAGATTAAATTCTGTACTAGAATTTTATTTATTTAAGTTTAATTTTTTATTTGATATTACGTTTTTATTAAGTTGGGCTTAGTTTATATTTTCATGAGAGTTGAGAGATTAGGGATGCAATTTAATTAGGGTATGTGATTAGCTTTTAAAGATTTCAACCGCAGCACTAACTTTCTCTGGCTTTGATGTTGAATAAAATTTGGCTTAACCCTCTTTCAATTCTTTCCTGGTATTCGTTGAATCAACCGATTCGAGATACTTTAAATTCATTATCTTGCTGTTTATGCCCTATTCCAACTAGATAGTGATTGAACAAAATTAAATGACATGGACTCCAACCAGTCATCTATCATATGATGTATAAGAAGAGACATAGTGGCCAGATTTCAAAGAAAGTTATGAATAAGATTTTTTTCAATCATACGAAGATTCAAAATATGCTTTGTTTAACTCACTTACCTGAACTTTGAGATAGTAGCTCATCTAATAGATCAGGCCCCAAGTCCTCAAACACCAACACTTCATCTTTTTCAGTAACTTGTTTCTTTATGAATTTACCTCTTCTTTTGTATGACTCCTTTAGGACTGCAGCTGGGGATGAACCATTCTTGCATCTGTATCTAATACTTAATAGTGATTCCTTCACAATTTCAATGGGGAAGTTAATGGAAGCTAATGAACCCCTCATTGCGAATGCAGCTTGGTCATATGCCAATGCAGCCTCTTCTGCACTGTCAAATGTTCCAAGCCAAACCCTCCTTCCATTCCTCGTCGAATCCCTTATTTCCGCTGCAAATTTCCCCCATGGCCTCTTTCGGACTCCGATATACTGTTTTTCTTTTTTAGCTTCTTCCTCAGCAACACTACTGAATGGTAAGATTTCATCTTCTTGTTGGAAAGGAGGTATGCCCTTTGAGGAATCCATTCTCCAGTTTGTTTTTTTGCCCTATCGTCTATGGAATCTTCAATCTTGAAGGGCTGCAAGTCTGCAAGAGTGCAACCTTAATAAATTTCCAAAATTGGGGGAAAGCAATCGTATAGAATAAGGTTGATTAATTTCAATTATGAAAGCCAAGATTCTCGAACAACTTGGATGGCTTGGCATCATCACTGCTCAACTTGTTGAGTCTAGATTTTTTTTTTCTCCCCTACTGCAAGATAGTTTTAAGGCGTCTCTGGTGTATGACAGAGAAGATATATTATAGAGATGAAATATTTCTTTATTTGAATTTAGAAATTTTTGGTTTAGTTAAAAATTAATTTTTTTATTGCATTTTGATAAAAGTTGATAAATTTTGTATTGAAAATATGATACAAATTGTGAGATTCATGAAATGTGTAATTAAAAATGAGTTTCAGGACAAACATTTATTTGATTGAAAATAAGTTTGAAAAAAAAATGAGTATTTAAATAATGAGGCTCAAACGGAGCTTTAATCTTCAACATGTTCTTTGAATTTTATGATCTTTACAAGTTTTGAAGCCATATCAAACCACCTCATCAGAAATATCAAACTCATAAAGACGCTTCAAACATTTATTTGATTGATTTCGTCATCAATCTAAATATAACTCGATAGGGTAATAGATAATGCCAAACAAGCAAGAACTCATTTCTTCTGTGGACAAAAACAGAGGTTGATAAAATTAGTACATATATACTTTTCAAATTTAATTATATTTTTCACATCTGTCTTAACATATTTCCAATTTGAAAATACGAACAAAAAACATCATCATCATCATCGGCTTTCGTAGTTATATTACAATTAAGCCTATTTTTGGCCCACATTTTCCCAGAATTTCATTTTTTTCAAGACTCATTGTTAACCATACGTTCTCTTATAAAATAATTGTTACACGCAAATACAAAACATTTTCTTATTTTGTAACCACATATTCTTCAAAAAAAATACTATTCTAAAATACATTTAAGCTAAAAAAAAAGGGGCTCAAACAAGGACTAATTGTACACTAACCGTCCAATTTATCTTTAAAATGACAGTTGTTCCACACATGTCCATTATTTTATTTTTGATTTTTTTAAAGATAAAATGGACAAACCTTATATTTCATCAAGAAAAAACAAAATTAACTAAGCATCATTCACCCACCCTTACCCTGTCATCCCACCTCGTGCCATCCCATCCCATCTCAGCATGCAACAATGAGTTTTTCTTCGACCTTTTAAGATTTATTATACGTTTGAACCATAATTACATCAACATCGATTTCTGTTAAATATTGTTTATTAACAAACATTATCTAATCGCATTAAAAATTCAGGAAGGAGCATCTTCTATATGAATGGAACATGTGCCATTTGTCTTCTTCCGTCGGCGGAATGCCACCTGATTTTGTTTTATTGGGATGCATGCCAAACTTGGGACACATTGGAGACCACACACTTTCTTATTTATATGTTACTGCATCATTTTTCCCCCTATTTTTATGAACACATTAATTTAATTGATAAAATTATTATTATTCTAATAGGTTAGTGTTTCAAATGAGTTAGGGGAATGTGGTACTAAAGTGTGTATACACTTTAATGGAGGTGTTGTCAATTTTATCTTGAACGGATCGTAACAAGTAGTAAAGTAGACTTTTTGAGTCCGAATTATCTTTCCAACGAGAGCTATATTTTAGTACTCAATTTATTATTCCTAACTTCTATTTGATGAAAACAATGATTGAATGTGATTTTTAAATCTAACTAATAAAAATTTGAATGGATGCAATAAAAAGTGATTTGGAATTCAAACAATAAATAGATGTTAGGGTGGAACAACTTTACCAATTGGTCACCTTCACTTCTAATATTGAGATTCATAAAACTAAAGTAGTGTTCGGTCGAATTCTTCTATGGTATTTAATTTACCCCTCTCGAGAGTTCTCATTGAGCCTATTTAAATAATTCAACTCCGTATCTCTATGAGAATCAATATTATTTATACGAAATAACAGTTCTAAGAATTCTTATAGGACCGCAGCAATTAATATAGGTATCTCTACACGTTATATTAATTTATCGAATTTTAATATTTGGTCTAAATAAGAATTCGCATCGCTACGTAATTATTGTTCACGAAATCATTGAAAAATTGGCCAAAAAATTCAAAGTATGGAAAACATAATTAAAATCCGCACATAAAATATAAAAGAACAAAGAGTTTCAAATAAAAGAAATAAAGGTCCCCAAATAGATTATATTTTTCACCCTAAAATTAAATTTAACTACACATATTAATAAGAGAAAAAAAAGAAATTATCAAGAAATTCATCACCAGATTTGTAGTAAGAATATAGAATAAAGAGTAGAATTATCGCACCAAGATCTCCTTCCCCTTCCAATCAATGCTTTAAATCTTCAATTGTTTGGTGTTTTCCAACTTTAAAATTCTCTTTTGATTCTCCAATTATGTTATCTTGCCTCTCAATGTGTGAAAAATTCTTCAAAAGTGTAAGAAAGATATATTTATAGGTGCCTCCTCTGTTTGTGTAAAAAGTAGGATTTGTATGGACTTCAAAACGGCCCAAAAACGCGTCCCAGATGATCATGGCGCGCTAGCGCCTAAGCGCTACTCATGCAGTACCTAAGCGCTGACTTATAGGAAAAAATTAGAAACGTAGTGCTGGGGCGCTACGGGATAGCGCCTGGGCGTTATCGTCAATTCAATCGTACTGCACAACTTTCAGTCTTTTTATCATAACTTTTTCTCCCGATATTCGATCCAGGCGATTCAAGATGTGTTGGAAAGCTAACTCAAAAGGCTATAATTCCTTTAGATACCATTTTCAAATTCAATCATTTACTATGTCAAAAGTGAGTCTCAATATGAGTCTAAAAATGATGCATACATTTCTTTGGTTGGAACTTGATGTGTGATCATAAGTTGATTATATTTAATCCCTTTGATGTCTTTTTTTTTTATTCAATTGACTCCAAGAACTCTTGAATCTTTATCGTGAGGTTCGACACAACTTTTGAGTATTTTCACTTTAGTCTCCGAACTTTGGATCTCTTACAACTTAGCCCATTTTCTCTAATTTTGTCAATTTTTGCTTATTTCCTTCAATTTCTTGTATTGTCATTGACTTTTACCTATTCAACATGAAACGCAATAATTTAGACCATAATTCATACGAGAAGCAACTAAATATCATCGTTTTAAAGCCTTTAATAAGTGTATTTTATACACTTATCAAATACCCTTATACACTTATCAAATACCCCCAAACTTAAATATTTGTTTGTCATCCAACAAAACTATCATTTAAATAACTACGAACATACAAGCATACAAAAAATAATTGGTTGGACAAGCTTTTTACCTTAGAATTCAAGATTTTGATGTTTATTCCACAAACATGCTTCAAGTCACAATACCAAATTAAACCCTTGTTTTGCCCCCATTCTCCTTCTCATTCTTTTTCTCTCTTATTTTCATCCACACAATCTTTCATAAAATAATATTATGCGCGAATAAAAAAATTCATTCTTTTTCAACCATACATTTTTCAAAAAAATACTATTCCAACTATTAAAATTTGGCAAGAATGAGGGCCAAACAGGGGCTTATATCTATTCTTCCAGTACAAAATCGACGTGTATGTATGAAGAATTAAGTAATCAACCATGATTGCACAAGTTTTTTCAACTCCGACCCTCTATGGTCAAATATATCCTTATGTTTCTCATGTGATTCACACACCATAAACTTAATCTTTTCACTAATTCCTAGTGTGTAACCTAATGTTGAATATTTCATTACTATCCTCACCCTCTCGAGTTCAGGTAGACGTTATTAGTTGCAAGTCAATACTTCAATGAACAAGGATTCTCCAATTATTTGATTTCTTCAACCGCCACGACTCAACTAGCTAATTATCCTTCATCAAAAGTCAAATTCCCTCAAATAAGTGTTAGGGCTTAACCAAGTTATTTAGTGTTTTTGCTCTTTTCATACATTTGCATTTTTTTTTCACAATTTTTAATAGAATCTTCATTAACTCTTGGAGCATGAAAGTTCTAACAGTTTTTGAGAATTTTGGGGATTTGTGTGTTTGGGTTTTCATGAGGTAACCCGTAGAATTGTAGAGTGTTACTCATCAAGTTAATCCAACCTAACCTAATCTGAAAGTGATTCACCCTAAAGTCTAGATATAAGATACTGGAGCGCATGGGTGCTATTATAGATGTTAGGAATATTGAGACTGACAAATCTCCTTCATTTATTTCCCTTTGCTCATGTTACTGTTCCGATGGTACAGCTACTCTTGCGGCCACTTGTCCAATTGGTTGAATAGGAATAGGGAGTTGTTGATTGTCAGCCATTTGATATTACTATTTTTGGTTGTGTTTTTTCCGTCTTCATCTGAAGGTACGTTTATTTTCGAATCAAACAATTTGAGATCGTCGCCTTGGGCACGGAGGATGCAACGAACACCTTTTTCTGTAAATAAAAAAAATAAACAAATCAAATAACAGTTAAAAATAAAAATAAATTATGACTAAAAGTAATAGTCTCTGGCAACGGCGCTAAAAACTTTTTGTCAATTTTATCCTGCAAGAGGACGGATCGTAACAAGTAGTAAAGTGGAAATTTTTAGTCCGGATTATCGTTCCCACGAGAACTATACTTTATTACTTAATTTATTGTTCCTAACTTCTATTTGTTGAAAATAAACAAAAAATGAAAAAAATGATTGAATGTAATTTTCAAATCTAACTACTAAAAATTTGAATTGATGTAACAAAAAGTGATTTGGGATTTAAACAATAAATAGATGTTAGGATGAAACAACTTCACATATTAGTCACATTTACTTCTAATATTGAAATTCATAAAACTAAAGTAGTATTTGGTCGAATTCTTCTATGGTATTTAATTTACCCATATGGAGTTCTCATTGAGCCTATTTAAATAATTCAACCCCATATCTCTATGCTAATCAATATTATTTATACGAAATAACAATTCTAAGAATTCCTATAGGGCCACAGCAATTAATATAGGTATCTCTACACATTATATTAATTTACAGGATTTTAATATGAGATCTAAACAAGAATTCGCATCTCTACGTAATTATTGTTTATGAAATCATTGAATAATTGGCCAAAAAATTCAAAGCATGGAAAACATAATTAAAATTCACACATAAAATATGAAAGAACAAAGAGTCTCAAATAAAATAA